GCCACCCATCACTCTGTTCAAAATCTCCTTAGTATACCTACACCTGAAAAACAAGTGCAAGCATGTCTCCTCTGCTTCAGCACACATTTTGCACGTAAGTTTCAACAGAAAGCCCGCAACAGTTGAGGAATTGTTTAGTCTTCAGCCTTCCATGCATTAACAGCCACAGCCACATCAACATCATAAAGCTTTTTGTCTGGGCAGCAACCATGATTGCCATATATAAATCGATGCCACTTGACCTTTTCCCTCTGGTTTCTACATAACTCATATCATGTAGCAATTGAGTAAATGCGAGACTCATTTCCCTTCCAGACAGCTTGCAGGTATATTCCAGTGCCATTCCTTCTCCAGTCAGCCACTTTGACATCAGGCCCTCACTGGCAGTTTCTCATAACTATTCTATCCGCCAACCTACTGGCATGGTGCTAGCAATCATAGGATAGAACAGCAAAACCTGTCTCCAATCTCCAATCTCCAATCTCCATCACGATTAGATTCAGCACCAAAGGTCTGAGTTGTAGAAGCTTCCTCCAAGCCCAAGCACAGTCCACAGATATCTTTACTGACCAAAAACTAGCCCCTTTCAATTTACTATCACGCCAGGTACTCCACAATGCATTAGATGGTGTACACAGCTGCCACAATTGTTTATTGTTCCATGCCTTCAGCTGTTTAACCACTAATTCACCTTCACACTAGAGTAGGCATCCAGGCATCCAATATCCCAGGAAACCAGTGCTATACCTGATTACTCTCTTTTCCCAAGAACCAGACCACAAGAAACTCTTGCAGATCTGCTCAACCTGCTTTATCACTCTTCCTGGCAATAGGAAAGCACAACTCCAAAATACCTGGAAGTAGAAGAGGATAGAATTAATAAGTTGCACCCTCCATATGATAAATAACTATTTGACCAGGAATTAATTCTAGCCTTAACTCTGTGTAATATAGGCTGGCAGTCCCGGAAGCAATGAGTGGAATGCCAAGATATCGAACAGGTAACTTACCTTGAGGAATGTTAGCATATCCAGAATGTATTCCAGATTGTTAGTAATTGTCGCACTGTTGCTGTTCCTAAACAAGAAAAGCCAAATTGAGTGCCTTAGAAATAACTAGAGAAATCCGGTACAAAATGTCACAAGCCTAGATGTCAAAGGTTTTGAGGTTGATGGAGATGGATTTGGTACCGATGAAAGTTGTTGGTGGAGTGGAGATGTTGAGTGAAAGGCTTAAGCAAGCTATGTCACTATGGCATGGTGCCAACAAGTTATCATTTTCTTGGTGATTCTTTTCAAGAGATAAAGAGATTTTGTTGTAAATTAAAAACTTCTTTTAATAGGATATTTTGAAGTGTCAATAGTTTACATATCCCATGTAGGTTAGAAAAAAGATATCAAATAGTCTTAAAATATTAAATATTACTTGTGATTGGTTAAGAGTTTTGTTAATATTATCAATCATGGTACTTGAATACTGAATATGTATAAATTATGTCTCTTACATTTCATGCAATGAAAATCATGACGTTTTTGAGCTTCAATGCAATCCATTTGTTAATATTGGACACAATTAAAACTAATGCAGACTTACTTTAGTAATTCAAACAAAGACAAGCACCAAAAATTCATATATCTTGCCAAAAAATGGAAGTTCTAGAAGTTTCCAAGATGAGTACCCAAATAGGACGCAAGGAGATTAGACAAACATTAAGGAAGAAAAAGAGAGAAAGTAAACCTCATCAAAAAGAACTTCTGCAGACAGCTCATCATCACAGAACGTGTCCTTGGGTTGCTTGAGCAAATCAGAAGCAGAACTGGATCAAAGAATGAATTGACAATAATTAGATTGTTTAGCTGAAATTATAAAAGAAAGGAAAGAGCTGGAAAAAGATAACAAAACCATAATTGCATTGGTTAGAAAACTGGGTAGCATAAATAGAAACCACAGATAATGAAGTATTTCCTGTCAGCTAACCTCATGCATTTTTTTTAAGACAAAATGTGACAACTCTGCAGCAACCGTCCATCCAATAACGTTGATCATGCAATTCCTCCAAGTGTCTCCTGGAACAAAGATACTTCTATAAGACAATCAAGAAAAATAAACCATAAGATCACAACAACTATACAGGAAAACTAATATGAAGATTCTATTCAGAATTTAAGATGAGAGGTATGTCAGCTTTGGCTCCATATTGCCCCCAGCTTGCTTGATTTCATCACATACGTCCCCAAAGCATCAACAATTTGCCCATTTAATGCCAGAGCAACTTAAAGGAAAAGAGACTTTATCTGGCCTTTATCCTGATGATATGATTCATTATATATTAAAAGAAAATTTATAGTGAAAAACCTGAAACACTCCAATTCTTTGTGATACAACAAGCAATAACCAAATTATCATGCAAGAGCTATGAAATCCTCAGCCCATTTGTGTCATGGCAAGAATAAGACTGGCAATAATGCAAGAAACAGTAGAAATGAACTTATCAACATATATCAACAAGATAGACATGAAATTTTAAACATGAACTTAGATAATATTGCAAATACTTCACATGTGCTAAGGTTTTATAGATAGATAAAATGTCCACCACAGCATAAATTTAAACCCAGTATAACTATAGATGAATACATGCTCCATAGCTACATCAACCCATTACGTTTCCATTTTATCACTAAGAATACAAAACAAGAAAACCTAAATACTCAAGCATTTTCCATTTGCTTGCATTGCCACCTAATCATCACTGGCATGGAGACTTGAATCATCAGCTACATCATTGGCTTGAATCCAATCCTTGCCTGCTTCTCCACTTGAATAACTCCTTGCACTTTCACTTCAATCTTCTCCTAAATCCTCACTTCCTTCATCACTAGAGTCATCATGCACAAAATCCATGACATTTCTTGAACTGGTCGCATTGTTTAATGTACCTGTCATGTAGCGAGATTCAACTTCAAAGTACCTAATCAACTCATTTCCTTTATCCAGAAGGATTAGGCTTTCCACAAAACTATCAAAGAAAAACCAATACTGATTCCCACAAATCTTTAGATCCTTGATCTCTTGGCTCATTGGATCACATGAAACCATCTGTCCAACTCTATTGCTCCACAGCCATCCAGAGCCCTTGTTCATACTCAGTAAGACATGGTCATCCTCTCTAAAACCCAAAACTGGCATGGAGACTTGAATCATCAGCTACATCATTGGCTTGAATCCAATCCTCACCTGCTTCTCCACTTGAATAACTCCTTGCACTTTCACTTCAATCTTCTCCTAAATCCTCACTTCCTTCATCACTTGAGTCATCATGCACAAAATCCATGACATTTCTTGAACTGGTCGCATTGCTTAACGTACCTGTCATGTAGCGAGATTCAACTTCAAAGTACCTACTCAACTCATTTCCTTTATCCAGAAGGATTAGGCTTTCCACAAAACTATCAAAGAAAAACCAATAATGATTCCCATGAATCTTTAGATCCTTGATCTCTTGGCTCATTGGATCACATGAAACCATCTGTCCAACTCTATTCCTCAACAGCCATGCAGAGCCCTTGTTCATACTCAGTAAGACATGGCCATTCTTTCTAAAACCCAAAACCCTTGCACAGCCTCCCAGACTAATATTTATATTTGACAGTTTAGTCCATGACCCTTCTACAGCATATTCTTTCATCACCCATATTTCTAATATACTATCCATTCCATTATTAGCACGATTGAATCTGACAACTGCCAAAGATTCCCCGCATACATGAACAGTAGGATGTCTGTAATTATGAACTATACCATCTGGCAACATAATTTCATGAAAAACCTCCCCCTGCAAATCAAACCCCAAAATCAAGTACATGGGAGGCCTCCCTCTACTCCTCCGCCTCAATGCAACAAAATGAAGAACTCCGTTAAGAAAAGCCATCTTCCTACTTACAACAACCACCGACCCATGACTGATAGCTTCAACATCATCAAGCTGTTTCCAAGAATTAGCATTGAGTGAATAAAGCTCAAACTTTAAAGCTTTGTCACTATGCATAATGCGAGAAACAGTCAACACTTTATAGTCATTAGCTCTAGAGTCAAACCCTAACCCAGCCACAAATAACGCACTAAGATCTTTTTCTGAGATAATCAGAGATTTTCTCACAATGGGGTTCCATAAAAACAAGCGATCAGGAAGCGTACCAAACTTACCATTCATTAGTAATACCAATCCATTGCAAGACCCAAATACATGACACCAATATTTGGCTCTGTAAGGGAACTGAAGCGAGGTGCACTCAATCAAGTCCTGGTCGTCAAACCGCAAGGAGAAGCGGTATTCTGCTGCGTCTATAGAGCAAATCCGGAGAAGGCAGAGGTGGGTGTCGTTCTCCTTGTAGGAGGAGATGGTGTGGCTGAGGTGGGACGAAACGAAGGAGGGGCTTTTGATAATGGAATTCCAGGTTTTGCAGACGGAAGTGCATACGATGAGGGATTTGATGGGCAGCTTGTGAAGGATCATGTCGAAGAGTTCCTCCGATAAACAGAAAAAAGCTTTTGCTTCATCCGACATGGTTTCCGAGCACGAAAATTTGAAGAAAAGTGAAATCCTAGAATGCAGACACTGAAGGTGGTTGAGGAAAAACCGAAGACGAGCAAACCCACCAGTTTTTGCAGTGAAAATTAAGTAAATATTTTTTCAGCCTTCTCGTATTGGGTTTAGCCCTTTCAGTCAGGGCAGTTTTTAAACTTTTTATGTTCAAAGAAAAAGTTTGGGCTGTTTAGGCCCTGTATATTGGGTCTGTGTTGCATTTTCCTTCTGCAGTCTAGGGGTGAGCATGGGTAGGTATGTTCAGGTATTGGTCCATACCTGAACTTAGGGCTGGGCTTTTTTTAAC